TACGGTCTTTAGCACCATGTCCATGTTATTTTTTTTTATCAGATGCAGCATGCTAATTTCTCCCTTCTTCATTCTGAATGCTAAACCGACTTAAGGGAGGAAGGGCTGAGGTCAGCTCACAGTGAAAGAAAGGTCCATGCAGTCCGCCACGGTGGGGAAGCCAGCAGAAGCCTGAAGCGGCTGCTCAGTGAACGAGTTCGTATGCTGTTCCACATACACAGTCGAGGGTCCCCTGTCCAGGAATGGCTTCACCCACGGCGAAAATAAGTCTCTTCACGTTAAATAATGTAATCAGGATAACCCCACAGGCATGTCAGAGGCCCTTCTCCCGGGTGAGTGCCAGATACTGTCAGGTTGACTGCACCAGCCAGCGTAGACGATGTCCGTCACCAAACTGCATTCTTGTTGTAGTGGCTGCATAAACAAGCCGAGGCTCGGAGAGCCATGAGCACTGACCTTCCTGAGTTCTGTGACCTGAAAGAAGAAGAGAAGAATCCAGACTGGCTGAAAGAAAAGGGGAAGTGAGTTGTCAGAGTGTTCTGCATGCTACACTAGGCTCACACATTCCAGGCGCAGATTGACCTTGCGTGTGTGTGTGTGTGTGTGTGTGTGTGTGTGTGTGTGTGTGTGTGTGCGCGCGCGCGCCAAGGCTGTATGCTACACAAGTGTCTTTTCAGTCATAGTGCCAGGCCAGGAGTAGAGAACTTGCCCCCCATATGTGACACTTGAGGTCCTGGCTCCAACCTGCAGATCCCCCCTCCCAACCCCAAACCACCAGATCATCACAGGAGATTCATGGGGAATTGTCATTTCATTATGTCGAGCCAGGGTCTCTTGTAGCCCAGTCTAGCCTTGAACTCGCAGCAGTCCTCCTGCCCGAGCCTCCAAAGTGCTGGGATTATAGGTGTCAGCCCCCACTCCTGCTGTGAGAATTGCCTTGTAATCCACGTGCCTATGTGCCTTCAGAACAGGGCCAGGAAGCCTGCCTTCGCTACTGCATTGGAATAAATCTGGTTGATGGAGACAGGCAGTTTCCTCACACTGCTTTTCCTAGGGAAAGGATGGTAGGCTTGGCATTAAAGGTGGCCTCTCAGATGCCAGTGTAATTGCCTTCCATTGATGGTGTTTTACAGTTTATCCTAGTCTGTTGCAGTACTTGGTGGTTAGCATGTATTACAAAAGGCAGAGGAGAGAAAAATCAGTCTTCCTTTTTCTAGGACTGTTTTTCCCTAGGAAGATCGATTGAGTACCCTGCCACAGAACAGCAGTTTGGGGCAGTAACTAGAGTTGCTGCCTGCCTTTTTGTTGTTTTTTGTTTGTTATTGTTATTTGTTGTTGTTGTTATTTTTGTTTGTTTGTTTCATTTTTTTTTTTTTTTAAATAAAGTCTCACTATGTAGCCCTGGCTGTCCTGGAACACCTTATGTAGACTAGGCTGGTCTTGAACTCACAATGATCCTCCTGCCTAAGCATCCTGAGTGCTGGAATTACTGACATATCCCGTCATCCCTGTGGGGAATTGGCTTTACTAGGTTTTTGTTAGTACACAGGAAAAACGTGCTCTTCCTGAGCGGGCACTCCTGGCCCTCCAGCCTTCACACTCGTCATCATCGTCGTCGTCGTCATAGTCATCATAGTCATCCTTGTGCGCTGGAACCACTGACTCCCCGGGGGCTGGGGCTTGAGCTCGACCCCACTCTACCAGTGCTTTCTTGGTATCTAGTGGCAGATGGAGCTCAGCACTCCTCAGCCTCCATCGTTGCTTGATCCAGTTGCTGCCAGGACACGCCTCTTTCTACCCATCTGTACCACCGTGGGCTGCTTGGTCTGAGAAAGATGGCACTAGGCTTTTGTTTTTGAAGGCTGTAAGGCGTGCTCACGGCAAACTAAGATGGCTACACTGTTACTAGGTAATAGACTCTTTGAGGATCAGTATGCATTCCATTGTTGGCTAAAATGTCACGTGTCTCACTCACTGTATGCCCCATGGGCTCCGTTTTTTCTGGAGGACCCTGTGAGAAAACGATAGTCCTAATGTTGCCCTTGCTGGCTGGCATATGACTTGTTATATAGACCAAGCTGGCCGTACTCCTGCTTCTACCTCGCAAATTCTGTGACTACAGGTCTTTAGCACCATGTCCATGTTATTTTTTTATTTTTTATTTTTGGTTTTTTGAGACAGGGTTTCTCTTTGTAGCTTTGCACCTTTCCTGGAACACACTCTGTAGTCCAGGCTGGCCTTGAACTCACAGAGATCAGCCTGGCTCTGCCTCCCGAGTGCTGAGATTAAAGGCATGTGCCACCACCACCCGGCTGTCCATGTTATTTTTTTTTTTATCAGATGCAGCATGCTAATTTCTCCCTTCTTCATTCTGAATGCTAAACTGAAGTGAAGGGGCATGTGGCCCTTCACTAATGTGGACAGATGCTGGCTGGCTGGTCTATGCACTCTATCCATCTAGTAGATTTTTGTGGTATTGGGGATTGCTTCAAGGGCCTCGCTCATCTAGACAAGTGCTGAAACACTATGTCCTACCCCCAGCCATTTTCTCGTTTTGATTTATTTCACTTATTGTTTGTTTTGACGTGGGGCTCCCATGCAGTCTGGGGAACTTGCTATGTAGCCCCAGCAGAGCCTTAAATTCCAGCTCCTCCTCCTCCTCTCTCCTCCCAAGTGATGGGATTACAGCTCTTCCTTTTTTATTTTGAGGCAGGGTCTCACTAAGTTGCTCAGACTGGCCTTCAACTTGTTGTGTAGGCCAGGTAAAGCTTGATCTTGCAGTCCTGTGATCCCAGGCTGTGGAGCAGCTGGGATGACAGGTCTGCACCTCAGGCTGCTTGATACTGGCTCCTTGTTGACGGTAAGCTGACATGTGTCAAGCTCAGAGCAGCTTTGCTGTGTCATGAAGTGCTGTTCCCTCTGTTTCTCGTTCCTGCGCTGTTCTCACTGTCCTGGCTTTAGTGTAACTAGTTCCTCCCGTGGTTAAAGATGAACAGCAACATCTGCTCTGTGTGCTTTCCTTATTCATATCCAGCAGGGGGAGAAGTTTTACCAACTTTCTCTCTCCAACTTGAGACCAAAATCACCAGCTTCATTGAGGCCTCTGTAAGCCCCTTTCCCATCCCTAAATAAATCACTGCACTAAACCACTGACGACTGCCTTTGGTGGGGGAACACGTCCTATTCAAGGCACATGCTTGATGTATGTAGAGAGGGAGCTTGTGCAGCAGGCAGTCTCCACCAGACAGGGAATAAATAAGGGGGTGGTAAGACATCTGGCTGGCTGGCTGGCTGCCAAGTATGGTAGATGTTATTTCTTCATGTCTGCTCTGATGTTAAGTTGGCCTTTTCTTTTTGTCTCATTAGCAAATTGTTCGCAACAGGAAACTATCTGGCAGCAGTTGATGCATATAATTTAGCCATACGATTGAACAGGAAGATTCCATTATTGTATCTGAATCGGGCTGCTTGCCACCTCAAACTAAGGAACTTACACAAGGCCATCGAGGACTCATCTAAGGTATGTGTACTCCTCTGACGGGTGTGTTGTATGTATATTTATATATTTCCTGCTTAATTTAAAAAGTAATGCTTTAAAATTATCCTGGAGAGCCAGGTGTGGTGGCTCCTCAAGAGACTGAAGGAAGATCCCTGAGTTCAAGGCCAACGTGGATTAGACAGCAAGTTCCAGGTCAGGCCAGGTTACAAAATGAAACTCTGTCTTAAAAGATCAAAGTAAACAAAATAAACAAATTGGTGCTCGATTCATCAGCACTACATATGCTAAAATTGGAGTGATACAGAGAAGATTATCATGGCCCTGTGCAAGGATGACAGGCAAATTCATGAAGTATTTCATAATCTCTCCTCTTGAGTTTCAATTTTTGTTTTGTTTGTTTTGTTTTTTGAGACAGGGTTTCTCTATGTAGCTTTGGTGCCTATCCTGGATCTCGCTCTATAAACCAGGCTGGCCTCGAACTCGCAGAGATCTGCCTGCCTCTGCTTCCCGAGTGCTGGGATTAAAGGCATGTGCTACCACTGCCCGACTCTGAGTTTCAATTTTGAGTGTGTTTGGACTACTAAAGCAATAAACTACTGATGCCTGCAAAACAAAATTGTTATCCTTTAATGGAACCTAGCATGTTCAACCATATCAACCTACATGGATAGACCAGACCCTTAATATTCATGGGCTGGGGGCAGTGCACTGCAGATATTGCTAGGCCTTCTTCATTGGTTTAAATGATGCTCTAGGACAGCAGTTCTCAACCTGTGAGTTATGACCCCCACGGGGGGGCCGCACATCAGATATTCTTCATATCAGATATTTGCATTACAATTCATAACAGTAACAGTAGCAAAACTACAGTTACGAAGTAGCAACAAAATTTTATGGTTGGGGGTCAGCACAACATGAGGAACTGTACTACAGGGTCACAGCATTAGGAAGGTTGAGAACCACTGCTCTAGGACTTAGCACTTAGCTTAGTAGTAGAGCATCTGCTTAGCCAGTGTGAGGTGCTGGGTTCTGTACTCAGTACTCTCCCCCAGAAGTGAAATGCTAAGCCCCTTTGCCTGCTCTACCGTTGAGTTCTGTGTCTAGTACTCCTTTTCCTTTTTATTTGTTCTATGTGGAGTATAATCTGCAATAGCCGTGTTTTCTGTTTCCAAAGAGTGAGCTTGTTAAGGATGTAGTAAGCAAAATTGAAGAACAATCAGCAAGTAGCAGATAGGGAGAGAGGCGGCAGATGGTAAAACATCATTACGTTAGGTGCTGACAACATCCAGCAGCGAGGACTGGGGAAGTCCTGCTGGGGGCCCTGATAGAGAGGTTTCCAGGCAGAGCATAGAGTTCGCTTCATGAATGAGCCTCCGGCTCCTCCTTCCCACTGCAAGCATTTTTATACTGTATGATAAACAATAGTAACCTCTGCTGTTCTCAGGGGTGTCATGTTTTTAATAACACCCTTGGCTCTTAGCTGCTGTTTTCCTTTTTTCCTGTTGTAGGAAGCCAGGGGGCAACCTGACCTAGGACATGGAGTTTTGGAAGATCTTGAAATATACATGCTTGAGTCAGCTCTCAATAAGCACAAATAGTACTGACAATTTACCAATATAACTTATATCTCAGGTCTAAATTGCCTAAGCTAAAGTTGAATAGGCCTTGAATTTGCCATTCTGTGCCTTAGCCTCCCTAGTAGTTGGAATTATAGGCATGTGCCACCAGGCCCATGTAGAGAAGGAGGGCCTTGCTCTCCTGATCCTCACAAGTGCTGGGATTGTAGGCCTGTGACCTCACCCAGCTCAGTAATGTTCCAGGCACAGGAATTAGAGGTGCAAGCCATTATGTCTTACTGATATCTCCTTTGAAGTTAGAATTTAGAATTTTCACTGTTTTTGCTCAGACTTAATTTTATGTCTGTTCTTTGTTTTATCCAATATGTGTGTATTGGAGAAATTATTTTGGCCACTCCACGTAGTTAAAAGGATATTTATTTAATGGCGTAACTCACAAATTAAGTGAAAGGTAGGTCGCAGGGTCTGGGGAAGGTGTATCGCAGTCCAGCGGTGTTCTCCAGAGCTCTGCACAGTCCACCTTCACCGTTCAGCATCCTGGCACAGAGAGCACACAGAGAGAGCACTGGCCCATCCAGCTCTCGGGTCTCCAGGCGCCTCCCCTCGCCCCGCCTCGTAGGTGTGACAGTTGCCAGAGTCTCAATGGGGGTTGGAACTTCCAGATCCAAGCTGGAATGGCTACCCATTACATGTGTGAATGTATGTGTGTGCAGGCATGTGTAGTGTGTGGATATGTGTGGATGTGTGTGTGCAGGCATGTGTAGTGTGTGGATATGTGTGGATGTGTGTGTGCAGGCATGTGTAGTGTATGGATATGTGTGGATGTGTGTGTGCAGGCATGTGTAGTGGCAAGAGGCCAGTCTTGATATTCTTCTTCAGGTGCTGTTCACATTATTTTATTTTTTAAGCATTTATTTTTAATTATGTGTATGTTTATGTGTAAGGTATGTGTGTCTGTGGGTATTTGCATATGAATGCAGTTGTCCTTGGAATCTAGAAGAGGATACTGGATCCCCTGAATATGAAGTTATAGACAGTAGTGAGCTGCCTAATATGGGTGCTGGGAACTAACTCAGTTCCTCTGGAAGAGCAGCAAGTGCTCTTAGCCCCACACTTGCATTTGTGTGTGTGAGGTTTGTTTAACTTAATTAAAATACTGTATCATTTCCCCACTCCTCCCTTCAGTGCCCATGGCCACCCATGGCCACCCCCCACCATGTTCATGGTCTCTCTTTCTTTGATTATTACGCCTCACCCCCCCTTTTTTTTTTTGAAGCAGAGTCTCACTGGGATCAGGCCTTGCTGATTCAGCTAGGCTGGCCTGTCTGTCAAGCAGCCCCAGGGATCCTCTGTGTCTGCTTCCCCAGGACTGGCATTAGTGTGTCCCACCGTGCCTGGAGTTTTATGTGGCTGTCGGGCGGGGTTTGAACACAGGTCTCCATGCTCACAGAGCAAGCCCTTTACCCGCTGAGCAGCTCCCCAGCCCTAATTGTACTTATTGTTTGAAAGGCGCTAGAATTGTTGACACCACCTGTTTCCGACAATGCCAGCGCAAGAATGAAGGCCCATGTCCGACGAGGTACAGCATTCTGTCAACTGGAATTGTATGTTGAAGGTGAGAGACTGGTGGGGGCGTGGGGTAGCTGTGGGCACAGTAATAGCCTCACATGCACAAGGCCTGTGTTAGACCCTTGGTACCATAGACACTGTGTGTGGTGGGGCACACACACCTGCAGTGCCAGCATTTGGGAGGTGGAGGCAGGAGATCAGAAGTTCAAAGTTGTCTTCCATTACCATCAAGTTCAAAGTCTGCTGAGCTACATACAGGAGACCATATTTCAAAAAACAGAGTTGTCTAGATAACACAGGTACTTAGGAAATACTTGCTTTATTGATTACCATTGATGTGTCAATACAGGCTTGCAAGATTATGAAGCTGCACTTAAGATCAACCCAGCCAACGCATTTGTACAAAAGGATGCGGAGAAGATTCGGACTATAATTCAGGGGACAGCACTGAAGTCTCATGACTAAAGACAGCTGGGCACAGGAGTCACTGTAGTGCTCCATCAGCGTGAAGAGCGAAGGGCTAGAGATCCTTCGGAAAGGCAGAGCTAAGAACCATCTCCAGGGCGGGAGTGGCCTGTCTCACCACCTTTGACCCCAGCACTGGGAGGCAGAGCCGGAGGGCTCTGTGAGTTTACGGCCAGCCTGGTCTGCACAGGGAGACCCTGTTTCGCAGCACAGAACTGAACAGAGAGGGCGGGCTGCTCTGATTCTCGGTCTTGGCAGAGGGCTTGGCCTTCGATGTTGCTGTCCTCCACTCTCCTTGCTCTTGTAATTAAGCTGCTGCTGCTGCTGCTGCTGCTGCTGGGGTTTCCAGGATACTACTGAGGACGCAACAGAATAGAATTTCCACTTAAAGATTGTACTTACAAAGGTTTTATTATATTAAATGTAGTATTTCATTATGACTGGCTTTGGTGTACTATATAGACAGTTTTTAGTCATTTACAGATACACAGGACCATTTTTTCTTTATACTGTTTGTTATTTGAGGTTAGACCAGTTAGAGTGTGGTGTTGTGTTGCATACCATCCCTGGGTCTGATGGGCAAAAGGATGTAGAATTCCAGGCCAGCCTGGGCTATACACAGTGAGACTGTCTCAAGAAAAAGTGAAGAAACCAACAACAGCAAAAACAAAACAAAGCACCTAGTTACTTTGAAAACCTTTTTATCTATTTTTATTTACTTTATGTCTGTGGGTGCTTTGCCTACAAGAACGTGCACCACTGGTGTATGCAGCACCTGCAGAGGCCAGAGGCATCATCAGATCCCCTGGAACTGGAGTCACAGACAGTTGTGAACTATCATGTGAAGGCTGGGTATTGAACCCAGATCCTCTGGAAGAGCAGTCAGTGCTCTTAACCACTGAGCCATCTCTCGAGTTCCAAAACCTTATTTTGAGTTTATTTATAGACTGTTTTTGAGAACAAAACTGAGCAGGGTCTTGTGTATGCCCTTAGTCCCAGCCCT